ATAAAGGAATTATATATATATATTTACATAGTTTTAAGCTTTGTTAAAAGTTGTAACCAGAAACAACTTGTCTTATTTCATCATTGCTTATGACAAATTCGCAATCTGAACTTGGAGTGCTTGTCGTTTTTTTACATTTAAAGTCTGCCAACTAGCTACTTAAAATTAAGGCAAGTAATTTAATTTAAATTAAATTCAAACACATTTTTTTGGGATGGCTGTGCCGTGTGCTCTTTGGTGACGCCCTATGAAAGTGGTGCTGCTGCATGGCACGACCATGAAGTAGGGTACCCATCAAGTATGAGAAATTAACAGTATAGATTATTTAAACCTAGATGTTAACATAGTTAAAATGAGTACCTATTGATTATTTAAATATGATAGAACATTAACAAAGCTTCTTATGCAGTTTCAGGGTACTATTCAAAAAATATAAGTATGTAAGAATCTATACATTCAAAAAAAAGCAACAAAAGACATACTGTCACAAGTTCCAATGGTGATAAAATTATTTTTATGCTGAATAAAAATAGAAACTGAAAACCAGTTTTTTGTCATTTTCTAGGAAAAGTCTACTGCTGGTCTAAGAAGTTGTTTCTGCTGGTCTCAGAAGTCCCTGTCTGTTTTAAATATTCTGTCCTAAAAAAGCCATCGGCACCAGAGTCTAATTAATTTTCTAATACACCATTGAACAAGACCTCACAATCCTAGCTAGCGAGGAAGAACCTGTGAGTCTACAATAAATACCTAGAGATAAAGCTCTTGGATTAATACAACAGACTGGCTTGGCAGCTATCTGGGCCTTACAAGTGCCTAGCAACAATGGGTGGGATGATCTTTCCTCGCCCTGTTACGATGGAGTGGAATAAACTCCATCAAAAAGTTCAAGAGAGAACTAATGAGATGTAATTAGGGGCTGTGATTAAGCTAAAGCTGTCTTCCAGAGAATTAAAGAGTTTGGTATCACTTATGGCTCCCGTAAAGCAGCTTGGGGATTTGAGCTCCAGATTCAAGATGTCTGCTATAGATTCACAACTTACTCAAGCACTCTGTGAGGGACCTAAAATGGTCGAGTGGAAGAGAAGCATTGTCACGAGCAAGAAAGAAGACGTCCAGAGGATGCCTGTCTATACAGATAGTATTTCTGTTCTCTTAGATACTTGAGATAAAGAGTATTTGTTTTTGCATTAATTTCCGTGTTCTATTGTAAAAGTTAAAAAAAAAGAAAAGTTTTAAGATATACAATATTTTTAAATCAAGTATGACATAGTTATTATGTCGTGTAAACTGTAACCTCTGTACACCAGCGCAAACAGAAGATTTCAAGCATGAAATATAGTTTTTTTTGTCAGGGCAAAAAAATTGAGTATGTATGAAACCTTTCCAGTAAAGTAAACCTTACTTACATCTTTTAAAGGTTGAATTTATTAAGCTATAATACTTGATATCAGTAAACTAGATGTTCTATTCCTTATTTTAAAAAGGCAGAATAGTTTTTAATGACAAGCTTTATAACTTTTTTTTCTTATTTAGTCCAACTTATTTAAAAAAAAAAAACTTAAAATTAAAGAAATTTATGTTGAGTTGTTGTATATAGATATGGCAAACAATGTATAAATGTTTTAATAAAAGTATATTTCTTGCACCACTGACAATACGTGGGAATTTCACATAAGAAGGTTTGCTTTTTTCCCCAAGAGCACAAAATTATATGACGCACCCATATAAATTCATATTTTTCGCTCAAGTTAGAATAAATTCTAGTTCTGGAGAGTTCTTATTTTTCTAACTACAAAATTGCAATAGTAGTTTCTCACTGTTGCATATCTCTACAGGCATGATCACGGTACAAGAGGGTGAGTACTGCATTACCCACGGAACTTTTAGACTACATCGTTAGTGGTAAATGTTATTTTCTCTACCAACAGCATGCCATGGTAAACCCTGGTGAATGTTTGAAGGTCACAACAATTTCAAAAGTAGGGGGAAAATTTGTGTTGTTGATATTTTTAGAAACAGCACATACTTAAAAAACATTTTAAGAATGAATTTTCTAAATTTTAATAAAAAAAATTATACTCTTACTTAGTCACAACATTACAAAGACATTTTTTTTCTAATTTACGGAATACTTTTTATTCGAAACAAACGATCAATGTCTTACTGTCAATAGTTTGATAGTACTTTACCACACGTATGCAATGAAAAAATTTATAAAGGAGTTATTAACACTATAAACGTCAACTAACTTTGAATAAGTTCACCAACTTTTGCTACTTTATTTTTCCCCAATCACTTTCTCAAATCTCAAATAAGACTCGACTTTTCAAATCAAGCTATTTGTCAACTACCACTGATTATTTTTTCATAAAAAAAAATAAATTTTTTTCTCTGAAGAAGCTAAACTTAAAATTTGATTTTTCAGAATATAATGATGGGTCGTTTCCCCCTTACTCGACGTTTGAGCTTACAGCCTGCGTCAATGAGAAGTAGTCAAGAAAACGGTCCACACAGACATTCCAGGTAGGAAGCATCTGCATTTTCTTTGAGTATCAACTAATTTTTGTCTCACTAAATTAGTAGTATTACTTAATTTTGGAGATAAAAAATAAAAAATTTCCCGCATTTTAAGTATATTATCACTTGATATGTAGAAAAATGTAACATACATAATATTTGAAGCTTTTGAAAGGGTTTTGCAGAAGAATGTGATCTTACATGATCCAGCATGATGAAAGTGGCAACAAAAAAAGATACTTTAAAAAATTAAATGAGAAGTTTATCCTACATTTAGTTTTTTACCTCACTTTGAGTGTTTGACGTACTTCATAGTTTGATTCAATGTTATTGAAAAAGAATTGCTACTGCATGAAGAAAAATAGGGCATGACCTCTAAACTTTTAGTAAACTAAAAATTTTGTAAAATTAAAAGTTAAAAATTTCTATTAGCAAATTTTTAAGATATTTAGCAAAAGCAGGCAATACATACCGATTATTTTCTCTATTTTCAAGTTTTTTCACGTCAGCTTATAAAATTTTCTTATAGCAAGTCAAAATTTATCAACTACAATTTTAAAAATATTTCGTTTACACACACATTACTTCTTGCAAAAAGAATTTTTAGTAGTACCTAATCACAATGAGAATGTCAGAAATTAGACATAAAAAATGGTAAAGGCAAAATAGTGGATATTATTGTATAAAGTACATCTCTTTTACCTAAAAAGGAGTATTACAGAAAATTGTTTTTATCACTAATATCGAAAGTTGTGAGCCGTTGTTTACAAAATATTATAGGTTATAGTATAAAGATTTCTAAGTTGAAAATGGCAGGTCAAAAACATTGGACATTAAATTATAAAATACTTTTTATGGCGGAACATTTTCATGAAATAGTCATGTACGAATTAAAAAGTGGTTTTTTTTATAAAAAAAAAGCTTTTTTATGTCATAAACATTTTAGAGTAAAACATCAAGGGTTTACGTGAAAACTCACAAATTCTGCAGCAAAAAAATATTTTAATGTAGAAGTCACCAAGACTTTAAAATATTTGTCTTCAGAAACAGCGAGAATTTTTTGAAACATTGTTAAAAAAATTTGTCAAGTAAAAAAAATTGTTTTTTTTTTTTTTT